ATGCGTTAACAAAAGAAAAATTCTTATCAAAAGACCTCACATTGTATTTTGGAGGAACAATTATTTACGCAAAATGAGGAAACTCAGAGCAAGTGGACGCCACATCGTTTACATCGATGAAACATGGATTGACAGCAATTTAACTTTTAAGAAATTTTGGCAGCATGATACGGTTTTGGACGCACAGATAAATGTCAGTTCAAAAAATAGAATGATTGTTGTCCATTCTGGCTCTTCCGCAGGATTTATTCCAGGTGCCCAACTTGTATATAAAGCATCAGCTCAAAGCGGGGATTACCATGGGCAAATGAACCATGGAAATTTTGAAAAAAATGGTTGTGGAAAAGCTTCTTCCAATTTACGACCCAAAGTGTGGTATGCATGGATAATGCCCCGTATCACACAAAAATTAAAGATCCGACACCTCACAAAATATGCTACAAAGCAAACAATGGTTAAATTGGCTGAAGAAGACGACGATATGCTGCGATTCCAAGATGCGAAAAGCAGAACTGTTTAACTTAATAGAATGCAATTGTCCTAAAAAAGTAATCTATAAAATTGACAACACCATAAAAGAAAATGGGCATCATGTTGTGCGTCAATCTCCCTCCTTACCATTGTGATCTAAACGTAATTGAATATGTTTGGTCATCAGTTAAAAGGACTGATCAGAAAAGGAATGTTATGGAATGGGGACTTAAGCTTGGAAAATTTGAAAAATTCAACACAAAAAGCTTTGGATGAAGTCACTTTCTCAAGAATGGCAGGATGCACTGCAACCACGTAGAAAAACTTGAAAATTCTAATTGGGACAAGGACGGACTTCTAGAAGAGATAGTGGATGAATTAATAATTCAAACTGGCAGCAGCGATTCTGATTCAGAAGAAACGGAATCTTGCGACAATGATTCAGACGACTTTTCAGATGTTATACCTCTATAAAAGTCCTCCACGAAGGCATATTTCTTCTTCATCTGATAGCTCTGTCAAGTTATGAGGATATTTCTAGGTTCAGTATTTTCTTTGCCATTATGTAAATGAAAGATTACCAAAAGTGGGCAACAATGAGCCTTCGGCAGAGGCGAAACCCCCCTTGTGGATAATAAAGAACACTGAATGGTTGCTTCATTTCCCATTACTGTGTTCTTGGGGATCCACAAGCCATGGTATAATTTGCTTAAAAAATAATTTTAATTTTAATGGAATTAAATTAAGTTCGTTTTATTATGAAAATATTAATACAAAATTAGTTAATGTAACAATGCTCACTGCAGTTATAAAAGCCAAATTTTGTATAATTATATAAATTTCGTATAATTTAAATATAAAATAGGTAACTGAATAATTTAAGATACCTTAATTTTGTTCTGATTTTTAACATTTTATTATGCTACTAGCTATTACAGTGTCTATAAAAAGCAGCATAATGCATAAATGGGCGCTGGTAATTAAGAGACCCAGCAGCGGCCGATCGGTAAAATCACTGAACACATGTAGTTCGGTCCGAGGTTTGAATCCCGTGAACGGGCTGGCTGCATGGGCGTTTTCGCCATGTGTAACGTGTATACGAGCCAGTTTTCCTTAGCAAGCCCTCCACGAAGGCATCCCTCCTCTTAGGCATTTAACCCTGGAGGCTTTCCGTAATCATATAAACCAACCCAAACCACTGGTAATTAAGGAAAAAGCAGTTTTGATTTTAATTTATCTTCGCTTCCTTTCGCCATTAAGTTGACCAGCTTTTGGTTTAGTTTGAAGGTATGAGAAAGAAGAAATAAATGTTGCAAAAAGTATTATTGAGAGCATGGGTATGTAAATAAACGCTTTTACTTTCAGATGATTCCATATACATTTAACGATGAAATTTTTAGTCATTATTAAAGTACAAGCAATAAATTAATAGAAAATTTTGAAATAAAAACATAGCAGAACGTCATTTAAAGACTGAAGAAATTGCTTTGAATATTCACAGTAGATTAGCTAGAGGGGAGAACTATAAAAATTTAATTTATTTTACATTTATGAAGTGCGTCTATACTATATTACAGAGAAAGGGGCAATCAAGTAGATTTCTAAGATGTCATCTAGGATTTTACAAACAAACAAAAAAGAAGCAAAATAATAGCATGTTTTTTTTTTTAATGTAAAAATTAAAATTTTTCTTCAAAAATAAGGATGGATTTTTAAATGTATTTCCCTACAAGTTATTTTGATATATTTTTACTCATTGTACATCTAGAAGGATGGCAAATTCAGCAACTTGTACCTCACACGGCAAAATCAAAGACCGTTTCTTAGCTGCAAAAACTTTATCTACGCCATCGAATTTTCATTTTCGGAAATTGAATGTCGGGGTCGACGCAAAGAGTCAACAAGCATTTTACTTTAAATTAAAACAAAATGTGAATATCGCCAAATCATCTTTAAATGCGCCAAGGTGGCAAAGTGAGAAGTAAATCTTCAAGACACCCTTACGAAAAATGGATCAGGGCTCGTTTCTACGGCAACAGACAGCCGCAGACAAACTGGCGAGAGCTGTTCTTACCATAGACAGACAGTACAAAGTCTGTAATCTGAACGTCCATTATCCGGAATGATCTATAATCCGGACCTCAAAGCCACGAACTTTACGCTTTTTTTTTTTTTTTTTTTTTTGTAAAATTTTATACCCTTTAGATCACAATTGCTCTATATTTCATAAATTACGGTTTCGTATTTTTAATTGAATAATTTCTGCATGCCATCTTACCAGATTTAAATTGATGATCTATAATCCGGAAAAAAACCCTAATCTGAAATCGCCGAAGTCCCGACGAGTCCGGATTACGGGCTTTGTACTGTACTATATTTTTGGTTACGTACTACTATATGCAGTTTAATAGCATTAAACACTGCAAACTCAATTAGTTTTAAATTAATTAAAATGACTTTTATATCAAATTTTTAACCACAGTGTGACTAGCATTCAAAACTAAATATTTTCACCTATTTCCAAGCACTACAAGAAACTATGTTTTTGCTGTCTCATGTAAAAAAATCATACTCAGAAATTCAAGGGCTGCAAATATTTATATTTCACGTTAAGTCAAAAGACTGACATTAAAGAGAGAGTTATGCATCTCTTAGATGTAAGATTTATCAATATTTACGTTTAATTGTTAATATCATAATTTTAAGATAAAAATATATTACTTTTAAATTAATCTGGGAACAAAGCGATATAAATGCATTCCATTTCTTCATTATTTGATTTACACATAGGATTTTGACATATTGATTCTTTTTGCATTTGTTATGCATAGACATATATAGAAAGATGTTCAATGTAAAAATTTTCAGCAATTAAGAAATACTCATCTTCATAACCAAACATTTGTTTCATAAATTTAAAATACTCACTAAAATGTCTTCAACAAGATACTCCAGATTACTAATATTAAATTTATGTATTAATAAGGACTTTTTCAATTTCCGGGTTTTTGTTTGGTTTTTAAAATGATCATTATCATAAAAAGTTTTGATAATTGGTTAATTGAACTAAGAAAAATCCTGCAATGCTACAACAGTCTTTTCATCAAAATGTTTAACTGCGGTAGAAACAGTTTGCCTTTCTAAAGAAGTTGAATGTAATACTTTTTTTGAAAGTGCCTGAGTTATTTGTATAGAATGGTACTGCTCTCAGGTATATAATTTTTTTCAAATGGAATAGACTTGCATAATACAGCTTATTATCTGTATCATTAAAAGATGATTTGATTGGTTTCAGGTTCAACCTGTTATTCCTTATACATTTCAGTAAATAAACTAAATCAAATAGTGAAAAAAAAAAATCTTTTTTTCCAAATAACATTCATTTTTAATAGCAGAAACTATATGACCATTTCATAGCATTTATGGTTAACATAGTTGTCGGAAGTTATGGAAACAACCTTGAAGCCACAATCTTGAAAAAATTTTAACACCTGTAAAGTCTGAATTTTTAAATCGTTTGGCTTTAGATTATGGACATGGAACATAACAACAACTTTATTTAAAGATAAGCTTGAAGAAATCATAATGGTTTGTATTGTAGAAGCTTTTTGAGGAACATCTGTACAAAACAAACCTTCAATTTTACCGTAATAATAAGTTTAATACAAATCTTTTCAAGTAAAAGATTCCCAACCTTTTCGTGATTTTGTAGTTGTGAAGATTTATGAGATAAATACTTTGCATTTAACCTTGTTCTCGGAGGTTAAATGCAAAGTATTTCTCTCTTGAGTATCCAGTATTTAATGTCAACTTTTTTAAGTAGGAAGGATGCCGTAAAATCAAGGACGAGTTTTTTTCTATTCGAGAATAACACGTAGGAAGACTGCTATAAAATAATTTGAAAATTCATGTCATCATTTTAGCTGTGTACGTTGGGCATTTAGCTTTTAATAATGAAATCTTTTCCCTAAAAAATTTAATCGTTATATCATAATCTGTTCTGATGTATTTTCAGAACACTTCTGAAGAGTTTCAGTTACCAAATCAAGCATTTCTACCACTATTTTTGACGTTTTCTTATAACTGTGCAATTGATTTGAAAAGTTTTCAAATTTTGACTATTTTTTACATAGTATATCTTTTCTCAAAAGCCAGTAAGACGTATTTGTTATATTTAAACCTTCACGAAGAACTGAAACAGTTAAATCATGCTCGACTTTAAATGAGACAGTAACTGCTGGGTAATATTCCATTTCAATGCGCAAAAATAAATAAATAAATAAATAAAAATAAGCAATCAGATGCTTTTATTATTGTTCATGTATTTGATAATACAAGGTCTGGCTATTAATTTCCAAGACTGACGTAACTGTAGGAGAACGAAAAGTCGGAAGATGGCGCTAATGATTACATATTGAAGAGCGTTTTCTTGCGCATGTGCAGTGCAATCGGCGGCATTCTGAAGTAAGTGGTTCTCGTGGAAAGGCGCATTAAAACGTAGCTCTTAAATTCCTATTGTCGAAGTGAAAATGGAGCAAAGAATGAACATTAAATTTTGCTTCAAATTGGACAAGACAGCTGCGGAAACCTACGAAATGTTAAAAAAAGTTTACGGCGAGGAAGCGTTATTCCGCTCAAGAACTTATGAATGGTTTGAACACTTTCGAGACGGGTGCGAAAGCGTCGAAGATGATCCACACACAGGTCGGCCGCAGTCCGTACACACGCCGGAAGTAATTGAAAAAGTTCGCGATTTGGTGAAATGTGATCGTCGATTGACTTTTCGAGTAATCGCCAATGAATTGAACATGGACAAAAAGATAGTTCGGCGAACTTTAACGCAAGACCTAGGCAAACGCAAGATTTGTTCCAGATTCGTTCCTCACCATTTAAGGGACGAACAAAAGCAACTGAGACCGGACGCATGTGGTGAACTAATCGACAACGCTGATGCTGACCCTGCGTTCCTGGATAGGATAGTCACGGGAGACGAGTCTTGGTGTTATCAGTATGACCCTGAAACCAAGCGTCAAAGCTCCGAATGGCAGTCTCCAAGTTCACCAAGGCAGAAAAAATTTCGATTTGAAAAGTCCAAAATCAAGGTCATGTTAATCGCTTTCTTCGATTGCGATGGACTCATTCATGATGAATTTCTTCCTCCTAACATGACTATCAATGGACAGTTCTACACATACTTCGTTCGAAAACGAATTCGTAGAGTGAAGCCGCATTTTCAACAAAATGGGAGTTGACTGCTGCTACATGACAATGCCTGCCCACACATTGCATTGCCTGTAAGGCAATTCTTAGCCCAGCATGATGTTGAAATGCAGCATCCACCATACTCTTCAGACCTAGCATCCGCAGACTTTTTCCTGTTTCCTAAGCTGAAAAATTCGATGAGGATGTTGAAGCCATCAAGTAAACCGTAACGTCACTATTAAAGAGCATTCCAAAAGAGGACTTTAAAACTTCTTTCCGAAATTTGTACAGCCGAGCACAGACGTGCATTGCGGCTGATGGGGATTACTTTGAATCATATTAAATGGCTATGTGTTTAACCTTTTTTCCTTCTGAGTTATTCCATGAGTCCTGGAAATTAATAGCCGGACCTTGTATATTGCTGTAAAGTTTCAAAAATTCTGAAAAGGAGACAATGTTATCTGCAGCACACAGTTTTTTTAAATTAATTTCTCACCTTTCCTTTATTCCTCTTGTCCTGTCTTCTGGTGTCTTTAACTTTTGTGGTAAAGGGCAAGATAAATATTTAGGTTAGCCGCAAAAAATAATCGGATATGCATCTTTTGATAAAACTGGCGCTCTTCTTTGAAGTGTTAATATTGTCTCATTAGGTCGTGTTGCTTTATCATCTCTTATGATGAAACGTTCATCAAAATGTGCACACAAGCACATGATCCTGGTACAAAGTATTTCCTATTAATTTTACTAATCCATGCTTTACACAGCAGTTCATCTTTGGGGAACTTAAAAGTTGTAATATGCTGTTCATTTGGCTAAGTAATTTGACTGGCATCCCGGAATGCTACATTTTCGCGGCATCTGTAAAAATTCAATTAACACTGTATTATGCACCTTAATTAAATAATAACTAAAGGGAAAGGAATTACAGTAAATTATTTAATACTATATAACTAATATGCTGTAGATTATAATTATTAATACACCCCTATTTAAACTTAGTGAATGTACAAAATATATGTACAAGCTCGAGCTCAATATTTTCTAACTTTCAAGAACGTTTTCATTATTATTACTGTCTAATTTAGAAGAAGAAATTATTTTAATAAAAAATTATGAGATTCGTGTTTGATACATAGTTTGAAAATGAAAAAATACAAGAGAAATTTACTGGATTGTTATAATATTTAACATGAGTGTTATGGCATATGTAATAAATATGATTAGAGCATGAATAAAAATAGGGTGGGAATCCCTTTATCAGGTTTTTTTTTTTTTTTTTTTTTTATCATCACTAACTAACTTTTAAGAAGTACAAGTCAAACAGAATCAATTTAAGGAAAACATTAAAGTTAGCCAGCAAATAAACTTAACTTTCCACACATCTTGTTAAAAATTAAATTTACTATAGTTAAGGAATAGTTAATGCTACATAACTGCTTAATCGTAAGCTCTGTTTACGCTCATACAGTTTGAAGATGGCTGTAGTACGATTGCTCTCGCTCGTGATGTCATATCTGGGGAGTCATATCAGGTCTCGTGATGTCATATCAGGAATCCTTTGGATTCGGCCTTCTCCCATCAAGATGGTTTTGATCTAAGGGCTCGAATTTCTTCTTTGAATACTATTCGCTGTACTAGCGTTACCATTGCTAGCTTGGCATACGTAAATTCATCTCTAGTAATAGGACCTGATGACCTCTTACTTTGTCGACAGTTGGAAATAAACCTATAAATAGAATACGAATTAGTTTAACAAAACTATTACTTAAAGAAAGAAAAATAGTTAATGAAATCAGCACTAGAAGTAATACTAAGAGAAATTTCTGAAGATTTTTTCAATTCGCATTCGTAAAGTTGGTCCTTAACATCCAAACTAGCCTTTTCTATAACATACATGTCAAGATTAGAAGGTCCATTGAACCATAATTCTGAAGATAAAAGTTACATAGGTTCGACTCCACGAGAAACCAAATCAGCAGGATTCTCCTTAGAACTGATATGTTTCCACTCGAAGTTTTCAGATAACGACTGAATTTTCGCAGCACGATTCCCAACAAAGGTTTTGAGTTGATGTGATGAAGCATTTATCCACGCTAATGCTATTGTCGAATCCGAATAGAATGTTACCTTTTCGATGTCTATATTTAGTGAAGTCAGAACTTTTTTAACAAGCTTAGCGAGTAGAAAACAAGCTGAGAGTTCTAAGCGTGGTAAAGATAAAGTCCTTAAAGGGGCTACTCGAGATCTGCTTGCCGTAGCTTAACAGGGTTATCTAGTGCTTTAGGTAGACCCTGCTCATACGCAGATTTGAAGCATGGAGAAACTACGACAGCCCTTTTACGGTTGTGAATGCAGAGAGTATCTTCCTATCTTAAGACTTTCAGTACTTAACTTAAATGAAATGCTTCCATCACTGGCAATGTTCAGGTAATTCCTCGTCATTCAGTTTTAAAGACTATGCACTGATACCATAAGTTTTGGACCCTATGATAGAAAGAAAAACAACTTATTCAAATCAAAGTTGGTAGAGCTCCACGAGAGGTAATTACAGCGGACCCTCCGGGCGTACTTTCCACAATCTTTTGTATGAACGCTAGTGGTATTTCTTCCACTCGGCTTGGAGAAGACATAGAGTTCCTTACGATTTTGCACGGGTAGTGCACTCCTGAATTCGGCGATGAAACTCGTCCGAAGTTCTCGATAGGGTCAGGGTCTGGAATCTGGGCAGGCCAGTCCATCGATGAACCCTTGGCACCATACCAAGCCTTGGTTAACGTCGAAACATGACAACTGGTGTCATCCTGAAAACAAGGGTCCAACCCGTAAAACTGCCACAACGTAGGAAGCACATTGTCATCCAAAATAGTGCAGTAGGCATCGGAGTTGAGCTTACCATGAATGGGGACCAAGGGTCCCAGCCCATACCAGGTCAAACACCCCCAGACCATAATTCCACCTCCGCCGAACTTGACCGTTGGCACAATGCATTCTGGCAGGAGACGCTCTCCAGGTAGACGCTAAACCCAGACCCTGCCATCCGAACGGTAAAGGGTGAACCTTGATTCGTCACTCCAAAGAACCCATTTCCACTAATCCACGGTCCAATTTCGAGTGTTGCACCACATTAACCGAGCAGCGCGGTTGACTTTGTAATCAAAGGCTTATGGCAGCAGCACGACCATGAAAACCAAGCAGATGTGCTTCTTACATGGTATTCATTGAAACAATACTCCCTGATGCCTGTTGAAACTCCTCGCGGATGGGGGCCATCGGTTGGGTGCGGTTCTTCCGATTTCTCTGGACAGCACTCGTCGTCTCTATCTCCCAGTTTCGTTGGTCTGCCGACTCGGGGCACATTCCGACAATCACCGCTCACCTTCCACTTCTTAATCACATAGGCCACTGTCGATTTTGGGTACTTCAGATCGATAGCTATGTCCCTTAAGGATCGGCTACATTTGTGTTACCCGATAATTATACCTTTCTCGAAATCAGAGAGCTCCGAACTGCGAGGCACCTTGCCTGCGACTAAAGCCGATGCTGTTTCCTACACGATATATACCGGCGGAGTCCGTGACGTTTCTTAGGACCGCAGATATCGTCATTTGCATAGGTGTCCAAATACTTATTGGTAGTCAGTGTAATTTCTGAAGAAATATTTTTGCTTTACAGATGACTGGCCCGATAAAGCCAATAGGGTCATACAACCGTGCAATGACAGAAAGGACTTCTTTTCTGTAAAAGATGACTTGCCTTGGAAAGCGACTTTAAAAGTAAAGATGTTGGATTCCGGTTGCCAAATTATGCCAAGAGTTTTCATAAATTCAGTAGAATCAAAGTGAAACTCTTCCTTATATACTAAAATGTCTAATACACTTTTAGAGTTAGAGTGCCATTTGTGTAAAGACATTACAACAGCTTTCGAATATCTTTATTAGTTGATTCTTTAATTCAATAGCAGACTCAAAATCAGAGGCTCCTGTAACTATGTCGTCCATATAGACATCAGAAAGAATCACTTCAGAAGCTAAAGGGTATTTCTGCTGTTCATCCAAAGCTAACTGTTTTAGAGTTCTTATAGCTGGAAATGGCGCACATTAAGTCCCATATGTTACAGTGTTCAATCTAATAATAGGTGACTCGTCTTCATACTCTTTCCATAAGGATACGTAGAAGATTCCTTTGCGATGAATCGATTAAAATATGTCTAAACAGTTGTTTAATATCGGCGACCAGTGCTATTTTATGTTTACGAAATCGAACACTAAGTTTATCTGGCATATTGTCCATCAAAATAATTGGAAAATTATGGCTGGTACGAGGAAAATGATGTAAAAATCACAGCATTAATTCTTAAGCAGGTGAAAATTCTGTAATCGTTTGCTGCTGGCTGTTCGCTGATGATTGGTCGAAATCCTAGGTCGTCAGTATTTCCGAAGAGAGGACGTAAACATCGTGTATATGATCATGTTATTGTAAATTTAAATCAAATCTTAAGCTTGCCTGATTAAATATGAATAAACGAATCTCCTCAGATGATTTCGTAATTCAGAATCTGGGCAAAGTTTGTGGTCTTGTTCGTCGCGGCTTTCTGGAAGAAGTTCGAATTGAATTTATGTAAAAAGTATAATTACGGATTTGGTATTTAAATAGCTAATGCTAGTTGAATTATAAATTAAATTGTTTTATTTCCCGTGCATTGCAGCGCGTGACGAATATTAAAAGAAAGCTAAGCCGGAAAATTGAAAATACAAGAGCGCGTGCATTTAACATTTAATAAATATCTCTTTTTGATTTCGAGAAAGTTTAAAATCATATAAAAAGGAGGAAAACCTCTCAATTCGACCATTCCTGAACAAATCCTCATGGAGGCGCACAACTTCTTCGAAAAAATGGATAATTCTCCAGTGCACACGCTAAGAGAACTCGGTAATTATGACCCTACGGTGGACAGCGTGGTGAAGATACCTCCGTCAATTCACCATAATGCGCGGTGGTGATGTAAATATGTAAAATAGTGTACATATGAAGTTGTGTTTTGTGCTCTATC